TGCTGCTTTTCCGTAAAAGCTTTGGGGAAATTGGACAAAAGGCACTTACCTAAGGAGGCACTCATTTGAATTCTTGAAAATAAATCTTAAAATCATTACCGCAAAGTCTGCTTAAGTAATTTTCATGGACTGTGCTCCAGACCTCTACTTTCAAATTAGGGGTCTGGAACACAAACAAAATATTGGAGGAATATCTTACACTCCTTTTATACAATAATATAATCCATAAGAATATTGAGGCTCAAAATCGCTGAAATTAAAGAAATAATTTAAAAATAATGCAAGGATCAAGAATTAATTTTTTTGATCTCTTGATTTTTTTCGAAAGAAGAACAAATGCGAGTTTTACACTATATATTAATAGACGTATCCTTTCTTCGAGTCATGTGACTAATGCGACTCAGCTACACATTGTGTTGCTTCAGAATAGTTCAAGAATTATATAAGGCTCAAAGCAAAAAATTAAGAGTGCTGAGGCACGGCACAAAGTTAGATATTCTTATAAAAAAGTGAGTCAGTCACCATAGAGGCCCTATAAGTTATGACGTTATTTCGAATTTCATAATGATATCTTGCAATTATTTCATATTTCAAAATCAACAAAGCAAGGTATTTCGAAATTGTCAAATGTTCTATTCTGCCTTCAGGTGTCAGGAAAAGTTGGACCGACTCACATACAAAATGGACCGAGTCTTCAAAACCAATTTTTGCAGCCACAATTATTGAAAATGTGTAAAGAATGGGTGCATAAAAATGAAATAGATTCCGTACTTGGGTAAAAATAGGGAATTAATTCTCTATTTGGTGATCTATGGGGAATCTAAGGTCACTAAATGAAATATTTATCATTGTTTTGCTCAACTTATTTTTTGGGAACAACTAAAGAAACTCTAAAAACATATATATACAAAGACTGATAGTCTTAAGTCTTTTGCATGAAGGGTTAAATCTGAAGAGGCCAGTTATAGACATGCCTGGAAGAGACAATGAGCTTGAAGGATTTTTTAACGTTGAATTTTAGGACATCTTCTTGTTGAAGGTATTCACAGTCTAACGCAGTTTGATTAACGCAGAGGTAATAATATGAACAACTAACTAACCTAATACAGCTATTCTCTTTTATATATTTATTGTAATGTTCTAGAAGTTTCTAGGAAAGTATCGTTCCAGAAGGTTCGAGAAAGCGTGAGTAATTATTTTTGCAGAAAATAAAAATGAGCTAATAATACGAATATACGAATGATATGAGAGATTAAACTAGAATGTTCTACAGTATCTTGACAGTTTGGTAAGAGTGTATCTTTTCAATACTTCTTTTTGCTCTACTAACCGCCAAGAGCCTTAACAACCAGTAAATTCAGTTGTTTAATCGATTCTTCATACTACAGTCATACTGTTATTTCTAGTCCCTTTTCAATAGCAAGAAATCATTCTAAAATAATGTTAATGCGAAGCTAAAACTAAGTGAAATCAACTCTTACGATGTTCTCAAGAAGAAATCAGAATAAATGCTGCAGATTGACTTCATGTTTCTAAAGAGTAGATATTTTATAGACAGGGAATTTTGCATAACCATCTAGCAACCAGCCAAACCGAAATTTGAAGGCTTAAATCATTAAGTCTTAGGAACCTTCTGGCAGAAGACCGGAAGTCACGTCCACGCTACAAGCTTTTTCTGACGGTATCATCAGATTTGAAAAATTCGAATGTCGAAATTTTGCTGACCGTGCATTTTTCATGCTTCCAGTAAACCGACTTCTGGTCAACTACCAGAATGTTTCTAAGGCCTGGTTCAAACGTCGCACTTCTCATGTGCCGAACCTAACTCTGTTTGGAGCGACACTTGAGCATGTTTAGCGCGACTCCCGTTTCAAACGTCGAACTTAATTATGTCGCACCAAATGGGTTTTAGGATTGTTACATGAAGTATCTTGGTTAAGGCGCGCAATCTCAAATATTTGTTTGAAACGCATGCGCCCTCCAAGAAAGAGATGAATAATAAATTATTATAATTATATAATATAATTATATAATTATGCATTGAGTTCGGTACATGACAAGTTCGACGCTTGAAACCGTTCCGTGCTGGAGTCGTGCATGATCAGTGGCATTTATTTTTATGATTTTAAACTTTCTTCAAGTTTAAAAAAAACAGTTTAAGTGGGCCAAATTCTCTTCGCGGTTGCGCGTTTGTGGCTTTTCATAATATTGCCTTGCGTAACTTATAATCACTTTTAGCATTACTCAGCATTACTTATTGGCGCCATACTGAAATCAAAGATATGGTCAAAAACAAAATTTTCAAGATAAGAATAACTTAATAAAGCAATGTAGATAAAAAGATGTTGATGATGCTATTTGGTGTTCACATCTATTTCGTTGAGATAATATAAGCCAAAAGTATTTGCGGTAGATTTCATGCTATTGGTATTTGTCCCAAACGTAAGGAATGAAAAGCCTTTTAAACCCCTAAAAAGATTAAGGCATTTCCACTAAGGCAGCCTTTCCACTTTCCTAATTAAGGCAGCCTTTCCATTAGCCTGGGTTAAAACATATCCGCGTTAAAAGTTATCCGTTTTTAAAGTGAGTCAATGGAAACGGCATTTTTCTTCGACCCGTTTCAACTCTGCTTTTGATCGTTCCGGCCTAAAAGAACAACCCAGGTGTAATATGGTTGGTATCTTCAGGGGCGAAAATACCGGGGGCAGGTGTGGGGGGGGGGGTGTGACACCCCCCCAATCTAAAAAATAGTCGATTTCGCAGGGCAATCGAAGATTTCGCAGGGCGCCAAGAAGAGCTTTGTTGCCACGCAGAAATGTCACCTCTGAAGTTCGTAAAGGGACGTTTAGAAATTTTAAAATGGAAATATCATATTTGTTATGAACCTACCTTCCTCATATTGCATTTTAGAGAATGGAACAGGTATGTAAGGAAAAGCTCCGTTATTTGCAAAGCGAAAGCATGTCTTACCGAAAGTCATAGCCAATGGATGCAATGATTGATGCATATGTTTATGAGGGCAAGGTTGAGTCCATATAAATTAATTTAAATTGTAAATTATTTTCATGACAGGCACGGCGTCACAGGGGGGAATAGGGGGCTGAAGGCCCTCACTTTGGTCAAGATTAGAATTTTTTTATCATTTTTTCTATTAATTTTTAACAGCGCATGAAATAAAAAGAGAGTAAACTGTTAAGATGCCGATTTTGTTTGATCTAATTACTAACTTTTTCACGTATATCTTTATTATTTTTCTTTTATTTGCGTTAATTCAGTAAATCACTTTCTGTATCATTGCAATGTTTTAATTTTGGATGGCCTTCTCGATACAAGAAACTGCACATTTCTGTTCAGGAGATAAAATTCTCCCAATCGAAACAACATCTTCCTCTTTCATTCACAACTATGTGCAGTCTGAAACGAAAGGTTACTGTTTCTTTCCTTCCCCAACGTCTATCACTAGAGTTTTAGCATGACATGCCCCTTCCTATTTTTCCCAATAAACAATAATCAGTTTTTTAGCACAATAGTATTTTGCTAAATTTTAGTCTGAAAGATGCTTTTTAGCCCTATTACAAGGTATAATTTCAAAAATTTTTTTTACGTCGGACCCAACCATGGTGGGTCTTCCTATATCACTAACCTTCATTCTTAGTCCCCCCGGGCTCAATTTCATTGCTCCGCCCATATAATGCACCAAAAAATCATATGCCACGAGATAGAAGCTTTATTATCAAGGAGAACCAAATTTGACATATAATTTACGCTCACGTAGAGAAATAAATAGTTCATAGTCAATGAAGTTTCAAGTTTGTATTTATTGCTTAGAAGTTGTTCTTTGGTAAAGACCAGTGTACACTGGTGACGCTTTCACTAGTAACCTATAGAGTATAGAGAAACCTTTGCTACGAGGTCTGCAGGGCACCACTCAGTTTTGCAGGGCAGAAACCCTTTTCACCCCCCCAAACCTACTGGCCAAGTTACGCCCCTGGGTATCTTAACAGGTCTACAGATCAATAGTCACTTGAGTCAATGCTTGAGATCAATAGTCTCTTATATCTTCAAGTCTTTGTTATTAAAAACGTGCATTTTCCTCTCTATGTTATGGCCCCGGGTTAGACAGAGTTGATGCTCCCCGGGGTATCGTCTTTGTACTGTATGTAAAGTAGCGTGTAGTTAAGGTATTACAGTAACTTATTGTGTAACTTTTTGGAATGTATAAAAAGTCAATGCTATTATCAAGTAAATAATTCTTTATTGATTTTAAGACATGACGACCTCTGAATTGCATAAAACGTTTCACCCCTCAAAATATTTTACTTGAAATATCCTATTAAGATGTTATTGGGGATGTGACATGCGAACACCCTCTCAATCATGACGTCTGCATCTTTTTGCGAAAACATCAATTCAATACAATTCATAGCCGAGTTGACCCGGTTGCGAGACAGGAATGCACCAACGTACCTTCTACGGGGGTCTCTCATATGTTTCCACCCATGCTGGGCTGGTAGGGATTGGGCAATCATTGGGATTCGGCCATTCGGGATCAGTGTCTGAGAAGTACGCTCTGACAACAGGGTTGTTGTGTGTTTGCCTATGTCCCAACCACATTACCTCTAAAACCGAATCAGTTTCTCACGAAGTTTTTTGTATGTAAAACTTGATATTTGTGTGTACACTTACTAGAAGTAGAAGTATAAACTCATGTGATGAATGAACTACTGATAAACTTGAAAAAGGGAAAAACAGAATCAATGATCTTTGGCACAGCTAAACGACTAGGTAAAACAGAGAAGAAGGAGATGAAAGTTGAGATAAATGAAACATCGATTGCAGGGACTTTAAGTTACAAGTATCTTGGAGTGCATCTAGATCAATCATTGAACTTTGCAACCCACTTTGACAAGGTTTTTAAAAAAGCTACAGGAAGATTAAATTTGCTTCGACGCATTAGGAGCTCCATTGACTCTGCGAGCGCTGAAAAGATCTATCGCACCATGATAATGCGATAATGCTGTTTTTGGATATTGTGGTACGCTGTCCCTCGGTTGGTCTACATCATACAAGAAAAGAATTGAAAGTCTTGAGAGTAGAAGCCTTGATGTTATTAGATCGACCAAGGTTACGTCTGTCAGCTTGCGTGTGCCCAGTATCAATGCAGGAGTGAAAAAGAGGTCCTGTAATTTGGTGTTTGATACCTTACAAGGCAATGTTTGTGATGCAATGACAGATTACTTCGTTATAAATGCTCATGGGAAAAATACTAGAAACGACAAACATCTAGTCAAGTTGCCTCAAGTGAAAACAGAATTTGGACGCAAAGGTTTTTACTATCAGGCAGGAAAGGAATTTAATGACCTGCCACTAAGTGCAAGAAAGATTAAATCTAGAACTATTTTTAGACGATTTTTAGAAACTTATTTTAATTGATGTAAAATTATTTTATCTTTAGATTGGACTATATTGAACTTTTGTAATCCGTTTTTAGATCTTACCATTAATTTATTAAGTATCAGGACCCTAATGACAACAGTACATATTGTACTGATAGGTTATCCTGTTAAAATATTCGATTTTATTATTATTATTATTTATGTTATAGTGTACATTTGTACACTTGAATTTTTGCTCTTGCATACCCGAGATCTCGTAGGAAACTGTCGTACACTGCAGTTCGGGTAATTAGCTGAGTTTGGACTTCTAGCCTGTCTGCATGTTTCTGTGATCGAATTGAACAATAGTCCCAATAGTCCAAAAATACGCGCATATTATTTTATTCCAAAGATGAGAAAGTGGGTCTTGTCTCTGAAATTCCCGCAGTTTGGGCAAAACATCATCGCTGAACAAAAATTCATTCAATTCAATACAAAACCTACCATTTTCCAACGTGTGACCCATTCTTCTTCAAGTGCGACCTCTTTTCTAATTGTGCGACTCAATCTGCTTTATGTGCGATTTGTTGTATTTTGTGTGACTAAAACTAAAAATGTGTGACGAGTTTCATTTTTCTGCGAGTCTTTTTTCTTTTTGTGCAACTCACTTGAATTTTGTGAGTGGATTTTCTTTCTACGTGAATCGGATTCTACGTATATTTAATTACATGGACGCTCGCATCCTTTTATTATATCATCAACATTGCCTGGTCAATAAATCATATCGTAATCTTAGGGAAAAATGATTCTCAAAAGTTCCAAATTGTTTATTAGCAGAAAACTTTTCGGATGGTAAAAAATTCGGACAGTAAAAAATTTACCGTCTGCAATTGTTGGCGATTAACAAATCTAGCATCAATCCACTGCTTGAGCAACAGAATCATTTCTTTTGCAAAGTAAATTAGAGTGAATGGGAAGGCTGAAAAACTTGTAACATTATGGTGACCTCGTTCTGGAAAAGATCTCGTGACAAATGAATGATTTTTGCAAAGCCATGGCTTGTAAGAAATTGTTTGGTACTCCTCAAGAGTTGTTCCTGTAGTCACTTAATGTACACGTTGAAGTATGCGTTAGAAATCAGATTTGAATTGAGTGTGATTAGAGAATACATAGAACTAGAACGGATCAAAGTTTGAACCTAAACTAGAATTTACGTTACTGATTAATTCAACTCAACACTTGTAGTATCTTTGTGGAAATCCGCTCCTTGAATCTTGCTGGCAACAAAAACACACTTCACGAGGTTACAGCGCAAAAGGATACATAAGTATAGTTTGTCTTTCCAACTGCGCAGCCAGGCTGGACTGCAGTTTCGTTCCTGCACAACTAGAAAGTATATTGGAACTGCTACAAAAACAAAAACCAGGCTTAAACTGCTCTCAACTGGTCGTTTCAAAAATGGAAAAACTAAAAGTAACAGAGAAACTAATGTCATGAATATCGGGTTGATAATCCATACCTTGATGGGTCTCGGTAGATCTGGTTGGCGCACCCGTAAAACAATGACACCGAATATCGCTAAGCCATATGTAAACCAAATTGCAAATGAAAAGTAAATAACAAGATTTTGTGTTCCTGCTCCAAGAACGAGAATCCAAATCGTTGTCAATGAAGATAGAAATAAGACAGCTGGTATGGGCGTTCTTCTGTCCGCATGAATGTACGACAATGGTTCAGGCAAATGTCCTTCGCGAGAGCCAGAGAGAACAATTCGAGAGCACATGAAATTTACCCCATTTAGTCCGCCGAAACAGGAAAAAGCAGCAGCAAAGGGCACAACCAATGCAACATTTTTGCCAAGAATCTTTGTCACAAACAGCGTAAGCACTAATAATGAACTTGCAATTTCTCCGTGGGTTAAAACCGCCAACAACGCTAAGTTAATCAAAAGGTAACATAGAATAACAAATCCGACTCCGAAAAGAATTGCTAGTCGGAGGTCCCTTTTTGGGTTTTTCATTTCCTCTGTTATTGTGCAAATGAGTCCCCATCCATCATATGCCCATAGTCCATTGTAAAAGGCTATACCAAAACTACCGAGCTCAAATTTGCTGGAATTGTCAAAAATAGAAACATAATTTTGAGTGTGTCCTGCAGAAGCTTTCCATATTCCCAGAGAAATGAAAAATAGCACTGATAGTGACTGAATGGCCGTGAAAAAGACTTGGGTTTTGCCAACAAACGAGGCGCTCAAAGAATTTATGATGGCAGACATCACGATGAAAAGCACAGCAACAGATTTTGCTATCCAAACTCCATTGGGGGCAGTTAAGTCAATAAACGGGCTCAAAATGTACTCACTGATCGCCATTCCCAACACAGCCATGGCAGCGGGAAAACCAATAACAACCTTCGCCCACAAAGTCACAAATGCAGCGATATCTCCGAAGGCTTCTTTGTTAAAAATGTATTCACCTCCTGTTTTGCCAATTGCACAAGCCAGTTCGCAAAGGCTCAATGCACCCAAGATGGGTATTATGCCAGAGACAATCCAAACTACCAACGCTATAGCCATATTGTTAGTTTCTCTTGCTACAAGGCTTGGCGAGATGTACATACCAGAGCCAAACAAGATTCCTACCACGTAGGCAAATGCATGCCAAAAGCCAAGACTTCTTGCAAGTTCTTTAACATTCAGTTCGATGCTATTAATGGACTCCCGAGAACCTGTCAAATGCTCAGATTTTTGCGAAGCAAGGAGTGCAGTCGATTCTGTCCTTTTTAGCACAGCCATCTTCACTTTCACTAAAAGGACTGATTGCAAAACGAATCAGGCTTCTTAATGTACCTCTCCGCATGCTGTCACTCACATGAAACTCTATGTAAAGCCAAAAACCTACTCCGGAAAACGATCCGCGGATCGGATCAGATCCTGTTGGTCTGATCCGTTTTATTCAATCCGCGGAACGTTTCAGATTGGAATGAGTATTCACATTCATCTCCACGGGATCCTTGCCTTATGACGCAAGTGCTCTAGCGTTCAAAGAGCTCTAATTCGATTCTGGTCAAAAGAAAACTACTGTACCTGAACGGCTAAAAAAGGTGAAACGATTGCAACTTTTTCGATCTGTCCGATCCGTTGCGGATCAGTCATCCAACAAGGCACAAAGCCGAAAACCCACTCCGGAAAATCATCCGTGGACCGGATCAGATTTTGTGTTGCGCACACGATTGCGCACGAATTGGAGGTTTGGCACAGGATATGGACTCTAGATTAAACAGAATGAGATTTTTATTTTCAACCAAACAAATGTATGAAATGAGCTAAATTGGTACATTTGTTTATACAGACGAAAAAAGTGGCAAACCGCGTAGCAATGGAAAGGACTTTGAGGAATGCGAAATAACGATTCCAACAAAGGCGAAATGAAAAGCTTAAGGCAGCCTTTCCACTTGCCTGGGTTAAAACAAAACCGGGTTAACAGCTAGTTACATTAATATAAGTTATATACAGCTAAAGCTAAATTATTTACAGCAATCTCATAGCATCTGCTCTTCCAGATAGCGTCTGCTCTTCCAGGGAGTCGTGTTATATGAGCTCGTATAACAAACTTTCAATTGCTTTTTGAATTTACTAAGTGTAGAGAGCTCTTTGATATTGATGGGAATATCGTTCCAGGCTTTCAGAGCCGAATAGTGAAAGCCTTTCTTGACGTATTCAAGGCTATTTCTTGGGATTTGTAGGTCCCTGCAATTCCTTGTTCTGTAGTTGGAGTGCTGGGTCCTATGACGATATTTATTCAAAGGCTTTCGGGACATTGTCTGTTGATTATTTTGTATGTCATAACTGATCGATCGAACTTTGTTAGTTGCTCAATGGTCAGCCGTTTCCAAATCATCGTAAGCGTCCCAGCAGCATCGCCGATCCTCTGCTGGGACACGTCCCCGTCGCTTACGACGATATGGAAACCAGGCTTTAGGTCTATAATCGTGCTATTAAATTGGGTTCGGCTGCTAGCGTGAGATCCCCTTTGTGGTCATCCTCTTCTATTTGACCAATCGCATTCAGTTTTGCTCGTGACGTTGTGCAGTTATAATTGGTTCTGCACGTGCATGTTGAACGGTGGCCAGAATAGATCAGGACCTTCTCGTAATTGAGAATGGTGGTTTCATCCTGTCAAGCGTCAACATAATTAGACGTAGTTGCAATTTACAATGTAAGATACAAAAGAAAGTGCGGGAATATTCTTTTAATCTTCAGACTCTTTAAATCGTTGCGATTTCACGTTTCACGAATTTCTGCAAGAATTAACTTCCATGTAAGGAACTCGGGACATTTAAAGC